GGGGAAGCGCATAGAAGATTTGGGGTTATGGTAAGTCGGACAGAATTATGAAGGCAAGAGGAGACACACGATGAGCAGCAGAAAGGGGGCGAGAACGGAGGAATTTCGCCGGGCAGGATAACGATGTTCATTAATCTGCTGCGTGTTCATTAAAAACTAAATGTTGTTTACTGTAGTGGTGCGCGTACCACAATGTATTCGCTGTTCATTCGCTGCTCGCTTGGCTGGCGCTCCAACTGTTTCCGCACATCACCAACATTCACAAGAGTCTCCTCCTTGAACTTGCTGCGCTCGCCCATGCTCAGGCGGTTGAATGCCGCCTCGCCCTCGTACGAGTCGTTCGCAGTCTCGGACTGTGTGGGGAACATGAAGGATTAATGGACAAAATGAGTATTGACAAAATGTTAAGATAATTGAATGAACAGAGTGTATGTGAATGAGGGGAAGGAGGAAAAGGGGCATCATACTCGGAATGGGTGACGTGGGATACGTTGAGGGTACACTGTACAAGGGGAGGGAAGGTGAGATAAAGATGGAGGGGAGGGGGAGGGAGGGGAGGGGAGGGGTGAACGTTGTGGGCCCGGGAAGTAGGAGAAAGAGAGACCAACAGCAAAGAAAGGGAAAGAGAAAGTGAGGGAGAAAAGGTGGGGGAGTAGGGGAGAAGGTATGGAGAAAAGGAGGGGGGTGGAGGAAGTTGAGGGGGATATCATACCGAGGTGAAGCCATAGATGCCAGTAGTCGGGGTTGCGCAGCAGAGCCAGGACGGTTTCTGTGAGGGGGCAACGGGTCAGAAGAGGGAGTCAATGCAGGTGGGTCATTTCAAGGTAACGGGTGAGTCAACCAAGGTCAAATGCGGATGTCAAAGAGCCCAGAGCAAGTGAAGATCGGTGGCAAACGAATAGCATAGAGCGCTTATCCTGGAGGACGGGGAGCAGCCCATCCTGCGAGCTGGTATGAACGCGCGAGGACGGCAGGGCCACGAGGCCATCTGGTACCGGCAACTAGCCGCAGGGCAGGCTTCCCGTGGCTCCCCACGCCGCCGAAATCGCTTGGCCCTTGCCTTTACCGCACAGCATAGACCCTTACCCTGAAGGATGGTGTGCAGCCCCTCCAACGAGCGTGCGACGCCATCCGAACTTGCAGGGCAGGGGCCCTTGTCTACCAAACGCATGGGCGCGCTCACCTTGCAGGATAGTGTGCAGCCCCTCCTGCGAGCCGGTGTCAGCGCGCGACGCCATCTGGTCCAGGTCGCGCTGAAGCTTCCTCGCCGTGCCCAGCAGGCCCACCTGATGGGGAGAAAACCGGGGAACCGGGCAACAATGGAAAAACAGGAGAGGCAGCACCATCTTTGTTTCGTTCCATTTCCTTAGAGCGCATGTAGAATGCGAACGGGCCATGTGTTAAGCAGATTTGTGCTTCCCGCCGACGCGTACGTGCGCTCCACACCTCCAGTGACCCATTGCCCTTTCTTACTGTCTCGCTTTACCTTTTCTCGCCCAGGTCCGCCTAGAATCCTCAACCAGTGCCCATAAGGGGGACGTGCCATCCGCTCACCTGAAGCCTCACGACACTGCTCCGCTGCGTCTCCGCCCACACCTCCTCTTCCGCCGAGTCCGCGAGGAACCCCATGACGGTCTGCGCGATGAAGAACACGGCGATCCCGAGGATCAGGAACCCGAACAGCCCGCCGCCTCCGCCCAGCGAGATCGTGGGGCCGAAGAACGGGAACCCGAAGAACGGCGTCGGCATGAAGAACGGCACCACGGGCGGCGCCACGATCACCGGCGCGGGCGCGCCGTACGTCGCGGCGGGCGGCGCGTAGGTGTTTGCGCGCGACGCGGAGAAGGAGCTTCCGCCGACGCGCCCGCCGCCCTGCGCGGCGAGCGCGTCGTTCGGCGCGCCGGTGAGGACGAAGGCGATGAGGGCCGCTGCGAGGATGGGCTTGACGGCGGCCTTGACGGCTTCCGTGACGGAAGCCGTCAGCTTGGCGGGGAAGTGTGCCAATGAGACGGGCGCGGAGGCGGAAGCGGGAAGACGACCCAGCATCATTGCTCCTATCTGCGGAAGCGCACACGCGGACTCGACGCGAAGCGACGGGAGAGGCGGAGGAGAATGGAGATGTCTGGGAGGCTAATTGGGTGTTAGCCGCAAGGCGCGCTGAGCTGGACAGGGACTGCTGCTTCTTCGAAGCAAGCAGGAGAGGTGCGAGGTCTTTGCAAGGGAGCACGCCGGCCTGGAATGCGACTGCGGAAGCCATTTACGTTTATCCTAGTCAAAATGTTCAGTCTGATTGGGTTCGGCTGGAGGGCGCTATGGCGCTGGTCGAAATTGAGCAAAGATGGTGCAAAATTCTCAGCTAGCTGATGAATGGGGCTTCCTAGCACTGAAATATCGACTGGAGCAGAGGCCCTTCCCTAGGCCCGTTGCAATAGGCCTGGATGAGTTTCGGAATGTTCTAGATTTCTAGATGCTCCTCTTGACCGTCGGATGAGACGGAGCTCGGGATGCTGACACAGATGCGCCGTCCCTTAGCAACTGCACTAGGATAGCGGCTCGGGTGCAAGCCAGTGAGAGGGGGAGAGGGCAGTAGAACTGGTTGCATCCGAGCTGGATTTGAGCGCGAGATTCGTCGGGCGCTGCTGGACTAAGGGCGGATGGGGAAGGCTCAGTGGATTGCAAGTGAGGGTCATTCATTTTGCCACGTCAGACAATCTGAACGGAGGCTTGCTTTCTGGCCCACGTGCAAGCCAAGAATCGTGCCAACAAGGAAGCAAATTATCCTCCTAGGTCGTTTGTCAGTTTATATAAGTTTGCACTATTTCATTTGCAAATAAGACAAGACTATAGTTAAGATGTTATATCCTGTACCCCTCCTGGTTCGTGTTGATAACTGCTAATTGCGCTTGTTCAACACTCCCACATGCCAGATGGATATCCCCTCACCCAAGCTGTCACACAGGGGAGCTCTTTTTCCGCTAGCGAGAAATTCATGCTTAGCCTAGCTAGATACCTTAATCCCTCATGTTGGAAATACCTCAAGGACTTAAGCGTTTCTGAAGTGTAACACCACACTCGAGGAAGGTCGTAACGGGTACGCGAGTCAACAGAGGTTACACGAGGGATGGATGTTATGAATGAACAAGCAGAGTAGTGCGGAAATGAATAACGAAGTGTTCACTCAATGAATGACGATACAAGGAATGGCAAGCCAAGATATAGGAACACCAGAGCTAGTCTAACCATGCGATGGGAAGGTTCGGGAAGGAGATCGAAGGGTCTCGAAGTGACGCAGCGAGGCCTGGAGAACTCCCGAAGGTCGAATTAGCAGGTCTGGAGAAGCCGAGGCGGTTCTGTCAGAAGGTCTGGAACAGTCCCGAGGCTTCGGGTGTGTTCGAGCGTACGCGATAGCAGTACCGCTCGGTAAGGAATGGAAAATTCCTTGCACCACCCCCCTCCTTAGCGAAGGTGATCTATATCAGCCACGTGCTTGCGGTCGAAATAATTCGCAAGTATCGAAGGTGGCTGTATCTGGTCCGAGGGCACCCACGTATCGTCCTCACTGATACGATTGGTCCATCGTATCAGAAAGTCAACGCGTCGTCCTTGACCGTCGATACGAATCCGATGGCTCAAGATCTTCGAAGGCTCGATGGTCGTCTCAGCTGGTGGCCGTACATCTGGGATCAATCGCTGTCGAGCGATGTCCGACGTGTCAGGAACAAAGGGTCGCAACAGGCTCACATGGAATTTGTTGTGAATACGCCAGTCATAAGGTAGTCGTAGTTGGGCGGTCACCGGCGTCACCATCTTTACGATCTTGAATGGGCCACAGAAACGTGGTCGTAATTTCGTCAGTAGTGGTAGTCGTAAATTCTTGGTGTCCAAAAGGACTAGTTGCCCTGTTGCCATTGTAATATCCCGTCGATGTAAATCCGCATACCGTCGGGCAGTTGCGTTCGCCTTGCGGATAAGTTCGACAGCTTTGTCTCGGACAGTCTGTAAGTCCTCGACAAACTGCTGCGATCGTGGTACTTGACTCTTAACATTGGTGGAGATCAGCACTGTAGGGTCCATCCCGTAATTGAGATAAAACGGGGAGTGATTAGTCGTAGCCGAGGGCGCGTTGTTGTAGGAAAATTCCAACATGGGCAGCACGTCCTCCCATTTGTTCCGGTCGGGGCAGTTTGTCCGAATCAGCTGCTCCATCGTTTGATTCGTCCGTTCCGTCTGGCCGTCCGTTTGAGGATGATAAGCGGATGAGAATTGTAGACGCGTGCCGTACCGAGCCCACGTGTCCTGCCAGAATTTTGACGTGAACTTCGGGTCTCGATCGCTAATGATTGCTGCTGGTATCTCGTGTAGGCGAACGACGGTCGAGATGAACAAGCGCGCTGTTTCTTCGGTTGTGATGGTTGTACGACATGGGGCGAAGTGCGCCATTTTCGTTAATCGGTCGACGACAACCAACACTGCGTCGTTTCCGCTGGGTCCGGCCGGTAGTCCCGTAACGAAATCCATCGTTACGTGTTGCCATGGGCGTTGAGGTGGCTCGAGGGGCTGCAACAGTCCTGCAGGTCGCTGGTGTGAGGATTTCATTCGCTGGCAGATCGGACACGCGGCCACGTAACGCTGCACGTCCGTCACCATATTTGGCCAGTAATAAAACCGCTGCAACGCCTTCAAAGTTTTATCAAACCCGAAATGTCCCGATAAATTCGAATCGTGGACTTCTTGAATTAGGAATTCGCGAAGTAGACGATAACTTGGGACCCAAATTCGATCAGTCCCGCTTCGTAAGTAATAGACGCCTTTTCGTGTAGTGATTGGGAGATGGCCGTCATTTACGAAAAAGGGGTCAGTCGAATACCCGTGGGTAAATAGTCCACTCAGTAGCGGGTTGCTCTGGGCGACTAGTACTGCTGCGAGTTGGGCAGATGGTCTGGAGAGGGCGTCGGCAATATTGTTGGCGCCTTTTTTGTACGTGATCTTGTACGTGAAGTTGGACTCCAAATAGTCCAGCCAGCGTATCTGCCGCGGGTTGAGATTCGGCTGCGCCCTCAGGCACTGTAGTGATTTGTGATCAGTTCGCACCGTCACGTCTGCTCCAGTCAGGTAGCACCTCCAGATTTTGAACGCGTGGACGATCACCAGCATCTCCTTGTCGTGCACCGTGAAGTTGCGCTCAGCAGATTGCATTTTCCGAGACTCGTACGCGATTGGTTGAAGCCCATTGCCGAAATCCTGCATGAGCGCTGCTCCGATGGCGATGTCACTTGCGTCGGTGATGACTTCGAAGGGCCGTTCCGGGTCAGCAATGCGAAGTACCGGTGGCGACATTAAAAGTTTCTTTAATGCCTCGAACGCAGCTTGCTGCTTCTCCCCCCACTCATAACAAGTTCCCTTCTGCAGTAGGTTAGTTAGAGGTCCAGTTAACCCCGCAATGTTGTGTATAAACCGCCTCACGTAATTCACGAAACCCAAAAATGATTCCAGCTGCTGCAGATTTGTGGGCGGTTTCCACTCCTGAATAGCCCTGAGTTTTTTCGGGTCTATTAGAATCCCTTCCGTGGAGATCACGTGCCCTAGGAACTCCAGTTCTTGTTTTAAAAACTTGCACTTGGAGCCCTTGGTGATGAGTCGATGCTGCTGCAACCGCTGAAAAACCGCTTCCAAATCATTTAAATGGTGCTCCCGGGTCTTGCTGTAAATTAGGATGTCGTCCAAGTAAATTATTACGCATTTGTCGAGTAGATCGCGGAACACCCCGTTCATGGTGAGTTGGAACGTCGAGGGGGCGTTCGTTAATCCAAACGGCATCACCGTGTATTCGTAACTCCCATAGCGAGTACGAAACGCGGTCTTGTGGCAGTCGTCAGCGAACACTCGAATTTGGTGGTAACCGCCACGAAGGTCGATCTTCGAAAAGTAGCGAGCTCCGCGAAGGTTGTCGATCAGTTCGTCCGTTCGTGGGATTGGGTAGCGCGATTTTATCGTTACCCGATTAAGGGCGCGATAATCCGTACACATGCGAAGTCCGTCGTCCTTTTTTGGTGTGAACAGGATCGGTGCTGCGAACGGGGACGTGCTCGACCGAATGAACCCTTTCGCCAGCAGGTAGTCCAACTGGTTCCGTAACTCCTGTAGCTCCGGCTGAGTCAGGTGCCATTGTGTTCGTACAGTAGGCTGCGCGCGGGGCTCCAGCTCGATTTTGTGGTCCTGGGGTCGTTCGGGTGGCAGTCCACTTGGCAAGTCGTCGGGGAAAATCTAAGGATATTCCCGAATGATTGTCGCCAAGTCATCCGGGACCGAATCGCAGAGTTTGTTGATATTGGTCGCCTCGTTCTGCTCCGTCGATTCGGTTAGATGGACGGCGTACAAATCCGCTCCATTCTTGACCGCTCGGTTGAGGCACACCACGTTGACTCGTGTCGACGTTGTCTCTGCTTCCGGCCACGTGGGTAATTTTCGCCAGCCTTTGTCACACTTCACTGTACACTCGCCTGTCGTCCAATCGATCTGCGGGTTGAATCTTCGCAGCCAATCGCGTCCCAATAGCACGTCGTAGCCGTCGAGCGTTGTTGCCAGCATCGGCGCGCTGAAACCAAAATCGTCGCCACACTTCATTCGAACGACGGGAACTCTGTCGCGTATCGCCAGTGGGGTGCCGTCCACCAATCGTGCGTCGATTTCGGGTAGACACCTCTCCAGCGTCAAGTGAAGTCGTCATGCTGTCTCTTGATTTATCAGGATGTGACTCGCACCTCCGTCGATGAATATTTTTATTTTTCTACCATGAAGTCGTCCTTTAGCCAGTACAGGGTGGTCCACTGGGTCATCCTCCTTTTTCAGCCGGGAGCGGTTGATAGCATGTATCGGAACCACCACTCGATGGGGATGATGTTTTTCGGGCGATGAGGCAGGGTCAGTAGGGGGCCCGACCGCTACTGACGCTTGGCGTTTCCCGACTTGTCCTCGTCGTTCTTCTTTATCTGCTTCTTTCAGGGGCAATCGTGAGATTGGTGACCCGGCTGGTGGCAGTTGAAACATTGTCCCTTACGAAAATCGTCCATGTGTTCCCTCGCCACTACGCCGTGAATCGTGGGCCGTGGATTCTGGCCACGAAAACGGTTTCCCTCCCGGGAACCCGCTCTCGCATACGTCCGATGCGCGTCGAAGTTGTCTGTGATCCGGACGACTTCGTGAAACGTCGCTGGTAGTCGAAGTCGGACCTCGCATTTAATGTCCTGCTTCAAACCCAAAATGAATCGAGCTTTCTTCTCGGAGTCATGCATGTCGGTGATTTGATCGCATAACGCCATGAAGACCGACGCGTAATCCTGGACAGAACTCCACTGGCGCCAGTTGTCCAGCTTCGTGCGCGCGTTGTCCGAGGCGGATATTGGCTCGAAACGTTCGCGCAGAGCT